CTGCGTCCAGACCGGCTCTGGGGCCCACACAGCCTCCTCTACAATGGGTACCGGGGTCCTTACCCGGGGGTAAAGCCGGCCGGGGCGTCATGCTGACCACTCACCCCCATCTAGTGCCGAGGTCAAGAATGAGTAGGAGCTATATTTCCACTCCTCCCAAGCGCGTACATGGCGTATAGTGGGACAGCTTTTTTTAACATTGAATTTGTTCGCTGATCTTCATGAAGGCTTACGAAAATTTCGAAGGACAGTCCCTTACGCCATTAAGGTCGCTTTGTTTGCTTTCTGTTTATTCGCGTCTGTCTGAAGCGCATGCAAGAGTCCGTCATGGCAACAGCACGTTCTAAAGAGATACAAGAAGCATGTATTAAAATTTACTATGGATTCAATTATGGAGGGTCAAGGTTCTGCCGAGCACGTAGCTCCCTTGACGCTCAAGTGTCAAAAGCTGATGGCACTTTCCCATTTTTCTTTTTCGTTCATGTGAATCCAATAACTGCTTAGCTAGTTAATAAAACTCATCCTCTTACAGAACCCGAAGATTTATTACAGTCTTCACAACATCCTGACACTGCTATTTAGTTTGTGCCAGAAGAATCCTCATGGCATACTTTTTAAGATTCAGTTGAATATCCTATTATCCTGCCATCTGAGTCTAGGTCTTCCAACTGTTCTTTCCCCTCAAATTCGGTAAACACTTCTCATCCCACCCATGCTTACTACATTCTCCGCCCATCTCTTCCTCGAGGATTTTAAGACTTACTTGATGAAGCTTATTAAGCAACTTTCTCTAGCCAGATCCAGACCTTTCAAACAGCCCGGGTCCTTGTCTTCTGTGACAGGTCGTTCTGCTACTGATCAGCCTCACGTGTTGGAGGACCACCTCCCCCGCCTCCACCACCACCACCGCCTCCAGCACCTGCTTATGGACCACCTCCCCCGCCTCCACCACCACCACCGCCTCCAGCACCTGCTTATGGACCACCTCCCCCGCCTCCACCACCACCACCGCCTCCAGCACCTGCTTATGGACCACCTCCCCCGCCTCCACCACCACCACCGCCTCCAGCACCTGCTTATGGACCACCTCCCCCGCCTCCACCACCACCACCGCCTCCAGCACCTGCTTATGGACCACCTCCCCCGCCTCCACCACCACCACCGCCTCCAGCACCTGCTTATGGACCACCTCCCCCGCCTCCACCACCACCACCGCCTCCAGCACCTGCTTATGGACCACCTCCCCCGCCTCCACCACCACCACCGCCTCCAGCACCTGCTTATGGACCACCTCCCCCGCCTCCACCACCACCACCGCCTCCAGCACCTGCTTATGGACCACCTCCCCCGCCTCCACCACCACCACCGCCTCCAGCACCTGCTTATGGACCACCTCCCCCGCCTCCACCACCACCACCGCCTCCAGCACCTGCTTATGGACCACCTCCCCCGCCTCCACCACCACCACCGCCTCCAGCACCTGCTTATGGACCACCTCCCCCGCCTCCACCACCACCACCGCCTCCAGCACCTGCTTATGGACCACCTCCCCCGCCTCCACCACCACCACCGCCTCCAGCACCTGCTTATGGACCACCTCCCCCGCCTCCACCACCACCACCGCCGCCTCCAGCACCTGCTTATGGACCACCTCCCCCGCCTCCACCACCACCACCGCCGCCTCCAGCACCTGCTTATGGACCACCTCCCCCGCCTCCACCACCACCACCGCCTCCAGCACCTGCTTATGGACCACCTCCTCCGCTTCCGGCGCCAGCATATGGTCCTCCCGCTCCGAAGATTTCAACGACTTCCGGTCCGCAGGACGTGGCCCTGAAGGTGGTTCCGACACCCAAAGTCCGCTCCACGTGATAATGGTTTGTAACTTGTGGTGTCGTAACCCAGAAGACCGCGGTTATAATTACAATGCTTTGTGCTCTGGTGAAATTCTAAAGCGACGGAGGCAGAGCGACTTAGGGCAACACAACAATGGTTTTAGAGGCAACTGTGAAGTCCAAAATTGTGATCCGAGGTCATTGTTCCAACAACGTGATTTAATTCTTGCTCGGTTAAAATTGTTGTAACAGTGTAAGTCTATGAAGTAATTTGGAGTATCGTCGTTCAAGTAGTTCAGTTGACAGAGCTACAACGCTGCTTTCAATTATGCCGAATGAAAAAAACTTCAAGCCCGAAGCAGACTGAAGCTTGTTTCGGAGGTTTCGAATTACGTATTAACTACAAACTAGTGCACCCTCCAAATTCATGCAGTTATCATAGGAGTGGCCAGTTCTGTGTTGTGTTAGGTAATATTCTATATTATCTAGGCTGCCAAATGTAGTTTCTGATTTACTGCTAACGAACAAGGCCCATTCAACCAGGAACTATTCTCTGTACTCCATTCCCATCACTTGCAAATTTGAACAACAATAAATTTACGGTACGTAACAGTCCGTTTGTTCCAACGGTTTCGTCAAATATAGTACAAGTTTTCTAAAAGCTGCTAATGGAAACACCATTTTTTAATATTTTCGGGCCCCTGTGAACGAAACCAAACGTATGTTGAACTATTTAACAAATTGGGTTTCATATGGACTAACACAAGCTCAGGCTCCTACAAGCCATATGTTTCGACTTTAAAATGTCATCATCGGGGCGTCGTTACAGATCAGAAGTTCATTTGGTGGTCTATAAAAACAATATGACGTGACCATAATTTGAGTTAATAACCCACAATTATAATACTTCCGCGAAAGGTTCAATGGTCCGTAAAGCCACTAGTTAGAACTTCAGTAAAGATCGCATATACCAAATTTAACAATAATTAGCTTAATCGGAGTTGATTTGTTTGACCAAATTAGATTTTTATTTGCGGCATTTTTAAGTCTGTAAGCCTTTGGTTATTGAATTACGAAAATTGGCTTATTCTCTAGGAGTTTTTTTTTTTAAAAAATTTCATATCGAATAATCCTCAGTCGCATTTTTAGTATTGTTACTAGGTAGTTGTTGTTTATCGTGATAGATGATAATGTCTACGTCTTCTGAGTGGTCTCTGGAGTTCTGGCGCCACCAGCGTGGTTACTATCGTCTCAGAGGAACGTATCGCGTTCATCTCAACTTCTCTCCTGAAGATGGAAGTCATACATTTCTCTGAAACGTTTATAACCACCTACAAGACCACACGGCGTCTCAAAAGACTACATTCCACAATTTTACCGTCGTGAAAACATAAAACATAACGCAGTTTATGGCAGATTGAAGCAAAGTCTCACCAGATCTTTGTCTCTTTGTTCAAGGTACATACTGAAGAACACTGTCTCCGGTGCATCGACAGTAAGACGACGGTCTTGGACATCCAGTGCATCAAAGTCTTTGTTTTCTAAACACGAGAAGGGAATTTTAGTTATGTTAGACCATAGGCATAGCTCGATTGTTTTCTTACATTGAGATAACCGTGACGTTTATCTATTTCTCGTTCATACTTATCTAAGATGATAGAAAGTGCGTAAATTACAGCAGACTTTTATAATTATATCATAACAAGTTATAATTATTTCGGATATAACTGCCATGTACAATTATGTGTTAAATTTTCTGGATCGTATATTAACAACACTTTAAATACATTCGTTTATTTATGCGCTAGTTTGGAAGGAAAAAATCTGGAAAAATACAAACAACTACTGTTAGAAATCTTGTAATAAAACTTGTACGATCGATGAAGTGGCTCCAGAAACACGTTCTAGAGGAGACTTGCTTGTGAATTAGGTCAGAAAAGTCGTCAGTCTACAGTAAAGTGAAAGTTTTGTAACAGTTTAAAACTGGGGTAAATAAAAGTAAGAGCGTTCTATTTCATAGCTATTCAGGGAATTTCTACGGGTATATTATAATTTTACGATCAGAAATTTGGTTTTAGATTTATCTTATTTCGTATTTCATAGGTTTACGGAAATGCATACATAAATATCGCTATGAATATGGTTAGTGAAAAACAATGTAAATAAAATATGTTTTTCATTCGAGTTGAAGAATTTTGTAAATGTTTTATGTATCTAGAAATAAAAGCATAACATTTTGTGTGCAACCTGGATTTTGCTATGTATTCGGGATATATCAATTTGCATCACGACCGAAGAACTTCTGTGATTTTACTCAGAAATTCCAAAAACGAATTATTAACCTTTTACACTTTTGAATAGTCGTAGTAATTAGCACATTTTATGGTGGGAGCTTCTGGTAAGCATTTACTTAGATAAAAATATCATTTTTACACCATTATTAAAGCATTTCAAATGACATGGCTAGTGAGTATCTCTACGAAGTCTTTTGTTCAGACTAACCTCTTGACTGTTTCCCGTTCCATTCGGGATTCTAACACACTTTTCTATACAGAAAACTAAGTATGTCGCAATCTATTTTCGTAATCCGTGACCTCATTTATGCAGCCCTCAGTGGCTGGGTTCCTGGAAGTTGACAGCATGAGCAGAGACCTCTTCGAATCGTACGCAAGACACAGGAACTATGAGTAAATAGTCCCAATTCTTCACAACAGATGTCGCAAGGGGTCAGCAGCGATCATCAAGCAACGTAATTCAACTGTTATTCCACGGTGGTTAGAAGTACTTAAATCGCTAGTTAACTCGTTTAATCGTAGGTTTGTCGATTTGTGCCCTGCGGAACGGTCACGTTTGTGGAAGTTGATTTCTTTATCTACATATCATCTACGTGTACTTTGGAATAAAGTGGTGGTTTTCTTAAACATTATTTTCATAGAATATGACTTGCAACAAGCTTCAGACTGTATTTATAAGTACGAGAAGGGGCAGCCCTTTCATTTTCCAAAGCCATAATTTATTACTATTTATTTTCAGTGTTCACCACCTTTTCTGGCTTACATCACACAAATGTTCGACTGATTCAGGGTTCCGCAATCTTTTCTTACATATCATAAGTTGTGAATAACACATGACGGCATACAAGAGAGTTTCGCGTTACGGAAAAGGGGTACGAAAATTTAGGCCATAAATATTTATCTGCATATAAATCCTTGTCCTATAAGAATTCGGGCATGTGAAAATAAAACGTAACACATGTCGAATAAATATTTCGACGACAAACCTGTATGTGTATAAAAATTAATTCTGATTAATAGGTAATATGTCGTTTTTAACTGTAACGTGCAAATATACATATTCTTACAAAACTTCGAGGCACGTCTGAAATATTATGGCTGCACACTGATTGCGGAACCACTGATCTAACATAAGACCATGTCTCTGCTGAACTGTGTTGGTGCTGTTCGTCACCGATTGTACTAATTTTGCGCATCCATCTCTTGATTAATAAATTATTTTCTGAAACAAGAGTCACCGATTGTACTAATTTTGCGCATCTATCTCTTGATTAACAAATTATTTTCTGAAACAAGGGACAGAGAATCCGATTTCTCTCACTGTTATGCACTATATGAGTGGGACTTCTACTGCCATAAAGTAAGTGCATATACCAACACTCACACGTGCACAGATTGAAAACGTGGAAACCAAGTAGGTACGGAATTAGTTCAAAGGAACAGAACTCGCATAGATCTCCATATTTTCTATAATTATACAGGCGAAGAGTATCATTTTTATAACCGTGGTATTCAGCATATTGGTTTTGCCTAATCTGATGTAGGTCTAAGCATCTGTGCGCAGCTATTTATTGATCTGTGACGTAAGTGTAAACATGTGTTGTTATGTGTGGTACGTAACCTCAATGCATTGGAAATAAATTTGGAGGTTTAGGTAAGTGATTAAGTACGGCATCTTACGTGCATCAGTAATAATATTTAATTATTAAATATTTGATTTTGTTTCTATAAATTTTGACTAAACAAGATGGGTGAAATTGCTTCTGTTAATATGAACACGTATTGAAGAAAATCATGTAGAAACGTACTTATCCTTTCCCTTATGAGTGAATTCATATTTTCATTACTGTCATTCGTTGCGGACAACATGGACAAGTTTCAGACAGATTTTCATAGGACATGACCTGTATATGCTGATTGTTGATATCACTAGTTATTTGAAAGGTGCCTGCTATGCTGAAATCAAGTTATTCAGTACCTTTCCTATCTTCCATTGAAAGTTTGAATTTTTGATTGAATAAATATTTCAGGACGTGCGTTCAGGCTACTGTATGCCCTCTGATCAATAATTATTCTTTATTTTTTGGAATATGTCACTTGCTAGTGTAGTAGTGGCAGAAACTGAATCAGGTATGGCACACAACTGCATCACTAAGTATGAACATTCAAATTCAACACTGAATAAGCTGACATGTCATTCATGTGTTCCATTAGAAGCCTGTTTTCAAATTCTGAATCTCCTTTGCTTAATGTTAGAACTGTTGCATGGTCCGGATATGGTATGTGGTTTACATCATATATAATTTGAACACTTTCAGAGTGTTTTCAATTAATGTTGTTTGGGGGTTCATGACATGCTGCTGCCCTTCCTTTCTTCAGGTAGTCAAAGTGTATTACAGTGCACAAAAATAATTGAAACTATATTCCTATGATTAACATGGATGTTGTGGTATAATAGCACAATATGGATTTTATGAAACCTGAACCTGATCCAGATAGAGAATCATACATAGCTTTTTTCTGCAATGAAAATGAGTTAGTTGGTATGAAAGAGAATGAGGATCCTCTTTTAATGAAATTCCCTGTTACAGATTCTGAGAATGAGGTGAGTCATCTGTCTGTCTATCCATCCATATGTCTGTAGTCACCTTGACAATAAAGTGTCTGTGACCACATATCATTACTCTTGAATACCTATTTTCTGCTTTTTAGTATATGCTTTAGTCTCTATACTTATAACTGTGTGAACATTCTTCTTCCTGTGGCTCTACAACCCAATGTGGATCTTGGCCGCCTCCTTTCAGAGGTTTCTTAGTCTTTGAAAAGTGCTTTTGTGAGTAGTAAGTGACCAGCCCACTGTCTCTGTCTCTGCTGTACCCCTGATTTTGTCTGCTAGCGCCATCTAGAGAATCAGGAGAGACATCAGTGAGAAATGGCCTCTGTTAATTCTGGTCCAGTGACTGAGGTTAGATCTTTATAGTGGACTTAGCTGATTAGATGCTTCTTACCGTTTCACCTGGGGACAGCAACATATCCAGTTTCAAAATACATGTTCTTTTGAATACCAGAGTATGTCCAAGAATTTATGTATGATTTGAGGTATTCACAGCGGTGAGTATGAGGATTTCTGCCTTCTGAGTTGTTGTGCGGTGTAGTCTAGTAGATCGCCCTGGTGACGGAGGCAGTATGACCTCTGAAACGTTGGTTAACATCGACCATACTACACGGCGCAACAACCCAGAGAACAGAAATCTCCAAGAATTTAGTAATCCCAAGTGTAACATGCCATTTAACATTGATTCAGATTCTTCTCTTTATTTTAAACAAAAAAAGTAAAGTGAGAAGTAAAGCTGTTCTGCTATACGCCATGTAGGCACTTAGGGGGAGAGGAGGTATAGCTCCTACTTATTCTTAACATCAGCACTAGATAGTATTGAGTGGTTAGCATAACGCCTCAGCTGCACTTACCCCCAGGAAAGGACCCCAGTTCCCATTGGACAGGAGGCTGGGTGGGCCCCAGAGCCAGTCTGAATGCAGAGGCTCTGCCCCCATCAGGGATCGAACCCCAGTTATCGAGTCTGTAGTCAGTAAATATATTGATTGAGCTGCCTCGGATCCTTTTATTTTAAATAAGACATTGGTCATCATTTTATGTCAGAATCTGTTTTCAACTAGCATGCAATCCACCAGAGAATGTAATTAATGGCAAATCGTCCAAAAAACGCACAAAACTAAGAATTTCTGAAAATTTTCAACTTTTAATTTTTTTCCAAATATTTCAAAAAATTTTGGTTTTGTGAGCCTTTTAGACAATTTCCAGCATTTTTTTTATTTTTTGAAAAGTTTGAAAAGTTTGGAATTTTTTTAAAACTCCCCAAGTGATGACTGGCAGACTCGGTTAATGCCTCTCCCTGTCTCTGCCGGTCACGACCTCTACCTCACCCGATTTTTGCCTAACTCGGTACCTGCCTCGACCCGCCTCGACAGGTCACCGTCTCTGATGGACCGTGTCTCAGCCTGTCTCGATCTCTGACTCAGCTGTCTCTGTCGGTCTCGGACTCTGCCTTGCGTGTTGTCTGCCGCATCCGGGCAATGCAGATACTGTCATACAGAGACCGGTTCGGGCAGAGACGGAGTCGGCACAGACAGCGTTCGTCAGAGAGAGAGTATGCCAGAGACCGGTTCTCGAAGGCATCCGGTGAGGGGGCTCTGCACGGACCGGTCTCTGTATGACAGTATCTGACGTGCCGTCTCTGCATTGCCCGGATGCGGCAGACAGTCTGTGTCGGACTGTTTCTGATGTACCGTGTGTCTCTGACGAATGCGGTCTGTGCCTGATTCGGTCTCTGCACGGACCGGTCTGTGTATGACACGGCTCTGACTTGCCGCGTCTAAAAAGCTCTGGTGCGGCAGGCAACACGTAAGGCAGAGACCAGAGTCCTGCAGAGGCCGATTGGTGCAGACACCGAGTCAGGCAGGAACCGGGCGAGATAGAAGCCGAGAAAGTGTTAGCCATTCACCGATTTTGACAGGCATCTCATGGGGAGAGTTTAGAAAAAAATATTCAAATGTCTAAAAAAATTTGAAAAATCAAACAATGCTTGAAATTGTCTGAAAAGCGCACAAAACAAAAAAAATTGAAAATTTTGAAGACAATTTTGAATGTGAAATTTTTCAAATATTTGGTTTTTTGAGCTTTTTGGACAATTTGCATCATTTTTGGATTTTTGAAAATTTTGAAATTTTTCAAAATTTCCACCACCTGATGCCTTGCAAGACTGGTCTCTGTCGGACTTGTGCCAGTCCAGATCCGCGGTTCAATTCCCGAACGGACTGAAACTTGAGATGAGGGGTAAACCAGGCTTTGGCATATTAATCTGGTTTATATGAACGAAGGAGGTGTGATTAGATGATACTTGGTACACCTCACTTCAACAAAATTTGAGTGATTT